TGACACCCATAGTGATGGATCCCTCCAATTTTGAATGTTCTCCCTCCACCTTGCCTGCTCTTTGCCTCAGATCTATGGTCAGCTTTCAAGTTTATCTTTTGCAGGACAGAGATCTTTAACAAGTCTTGTATGTGCTTTACAGCATCTGCACACAGATCCCCTGTTGAAATTATACACATTGTTATGTGTAAATATGAGAGTATATGTGCTGACCTGAATTGGGGGGCAGGAGTGGCAGTAAGTCTATAGATTGGATGAGATTATCTTCTGTATGGGCTACATCTAAAAAACAAAAGCAAAATATTGTGGACAGTTACTCAGGAGCTGTCACTAACTAAATCTGCATGGTTGCCCTTCCTGCAAAATTGCCATATGCTTTGTTAATTAACAGATTATCAAATGTTTACTCTTAGAGAAGTAGAACTCTTTCCTGGTCTGTTTGTAACAGAAATGAGTAGTAAAGCAAGCATTTAGAATACTGTCATGTAATACATCTTCCAGAAAACATGCAAAAGAATTGTCATAACTGGCAACTTGGAAATCATGCTGGGCTAGCAAAAGTGTGCTGGACAGAAATCAGGAAGAAATCTCTTCATTTAGATATAGAACAAAATAGGGGGCACTTTCATAGCACCCTCATTTCTCTGTCATTCTGAGACATAAAAAAAAGACTGACTCAATTGAAATATTAATATAAAAGCCTGAGATTGGTAAACATAGAGACCAAGTATTCAAAGGAGGCTCAAAGTATTAGAATAGAGAATGATGATGAGATGTGAAGCGAGTTAGAGATTCTCCAAATATTCCTGACATGCAACGGTAATGATAATAACAACAATGATGAAAATCAACACAATTTATATTTTAAACCCTTTATAGAGTCAAAGCACTTTGCACATAGATACGACAGACTGGCACAATGGCCGCCATTATATAGAGCCAGACATGGTGACCCAGTGAAGTTCAAGTCTTGTTCAATCAGTTATTTAATGGGGAGGCAGAGGCATGTCCTCACATCTATTTCTGAGTGCTCTGTTCTTCACACAACATTTTACTTTAGTGCACAAAATCACAGACTTTTGTTTGTCCTAATTTCCAGATATGTTAGTAATTGTTCATTTAAATCCAGAAAAACCAAGTCCCTATATAAAAAGTAGACTCTATTATCTCTACTGCCATGGAATTAATGTGACAGTGGATGGGGGTAGGCTGGTACATAGGCAGCATCAAGGAAAGAAGCAAAATAAGAAACTTGGCCTTGGGGTCCTTTGAAGCTATTTTAAAAAGTAAAATGTTATGTTAAGAGCTATGTGGTGTTTCTCTGTATATGTGTAATTATTATTACATTGATTTATTGCACACATGTCAAAGAGCTCTGGGCATTTGTACAAGTTAAAACAAACTAACCTAGGAGCCAAGCCACAGAGCCACAAACCCAGACAATTTGCCTCCCACCCCTCGTCCCACCCTTTATCCTGCCACCTCCCAAACACAAATTCCCTGGTAACAAAAGTCTTCCTTCTTGAGATGGACCATTAAGTCAGTGGCATGTGCCCTTTATACTATATTCTAAAAAGTAACAAAAAGCAGGTTGACGGCATAGATTTTCCAGAGAAACCAGCAGGACTCTTCCCATTCTAGAGCATTCTGTTTTAGCAAGAGCTTTCAGGAATGGTTCAGAAATTAAATTGGGAGGAGTTATCACACGCAACCTTCTCCGAGGAAAAGGACCATAGCTTTCATATGAATTTAAATCCAGGTCTTTCATTGTAGGATATAATGAAACATAACATATCTCATCTACTGAATACTTGCCCCCTAGCCCAGTGCAAGTTAGGTGGGGAGATTATTTCCCTCTGTTTTTCCAAGAAGCAGGAAAATAACTTTAATGTATTTTATACTGCTGCCAAAAATCATTTGCCTATGATCCAACAATTGGAGCTAATTTCAACCAGAAATGTTCGCTCTAAGAGATAAACATCATTTGGTAACTTTCTCCATTTCCATTTACAAAGACTCTAAAAGAAGAAAAAAGGCAAAAGAAAATTCCTTGGATGGTTCCAGCTGATAAAATCATTAATCTCACACTCCCAACTTCAAAGCAAAAAACTGAAAAATCATCTCACTTTCTCAGCATATGGAGAATCCCCCTATAGTAATTTTATCTACTTCAAAGCACCATCTCTTTTAGTGGGTCGCTTTAATTATTAAAGGTGGGACGGAAGTTATCCACATGATGTCACCACTGTCTTTTTCATGAAATATGTATAGGTCTGATTTGGACTACATTAACTCAACAGAGGTAAAATACAGGAGAGTGATTAAAAAGAGAAAAAGAGGCCAAAGAATACAGCACTCATCAGCGAAATATAGTGAGAAAATAGACTAAGCCTTTCTGAGTTGAGTTTTCCTATTCTTTCCTCCTGGAGAGGAATCAACAAGAAGTCCCACTACCTGTTTGGATAATACCTCAGCATACTACCTTGCTTCCAAAATTTCCTCCTATCCAATATACACCAATACGATTACATTATCTTTATTAGTAATGCTGCTATTAACTAGGGGTACAATCAGCTGCTTTGTGAATGAACCACTACAAAGAAAAAAATGGTGCTCTAGAACAGGAGTCAGCAAACTATCTAGCTGACTTCAGATATGTAAGACTGCCAGGAAGAGGCCCAAAACCGGCATTCCAATTCCCACTTAACCCTCTTCCCACAAAATCACAATGTCGTGGGTTGGCAGACATTTTATAAAGGCCCAGAGCATAAATATTTTCAGCTTTGTAGATCATATGGTCTCTGTCACGATTAAATTCTGCTGTTGTAGCATGAAAGCAGCCAAAGAGAACATATAGATGGATGGGTATGGCTATGTCCTACCTAATAAAGCTTTATTTACAAAATAGGCAGAAGGCAGGGCTTGTCCCAGAAATCACAGTTTTCAATTCCTATTCTAGACAAGTGCTCAATGGTAGAAATATTTGATAGCTATGCTGGCCATATGTGACTAAGAAATACTTGAAACAGAGCTAGTGTGACTAAAAAGCCCTATTTTAAATTTTACTGAATTTTAATGAAATGAAATTTGAATAGCCAACTGTAGTTAGGGACTACAGTATTAGGCAGCACAGTCTTACATCTATTCCTGTTGCCTCCTCAAAAGAGATACAAGCCACCTTTCCACAGAGGCCATAGTATACATTTTTGCCTCAAAAAAATCCATGCTCTTGTGTGGAGATTTCTGGATCTACTAAACATAGAGCTTCCATATGATCCAGCAATTCCACTCCTAGGTATTTACCCAAAGGACACAGAAACATCAATTCCAAAGAACACCTGCACCCCTATGTTTATAGCAACACTATTTACAATAGCTAAGCTTTGGAAACAGCCCAAATGCCCAAAAATAGATGACTGGATCAAGAAGATGTGGTACATATATACCATGGAATATTACTCAGCATTCAAAAAAGATAAACACATGCAATTTGCAGCAACATGGATGGCGCTGGAAGGGATCATGCTCAGCGAAATAAGCCAGAAAGAAAAAGAAAAATACCGGATGGTCTCACTCATAGCAGGAATCTAGAAAACTTAAATAAGGGACCAGGAAAATGAATAACTATAAGAAAGTGAAAATCAAAATCAACAAAAATCTATGAACCAGAGACACTTTTGGGGGGGTGGGTGGAGGGAGGGGAGGGATTGGGGTCAAAATGGGGGGGTTGAAATTGTATGGGGAATATAAAAATAAAATTTATTATAAAAAAAATTTAAAAAAAGCAAAAAATAAATAAATAAATAAAAATCCATGCTCTACACTCACAATGGTACTATACAATTGAGAATAAGCTTTCCTTAATGTGAAATATCTACATCACTAAGACCAAAATTATCATTTTGGAATGAAGTAACCAAATAACTGCTTGTTGGCCAATGTCGAGTGCCAAGGGGTTGAGTCAGGCCCATGCCACCCACCTATCTAACCTCAAAATTGTTTCTTTTCTCCTTTAGACACTGTCCTGCCCCCTGACTGAGGATGCAGATCTACTCAACAGCTCTATAAATGCCTAAGGAATATCAAACTTCCTCACAGATCCCAACTATACACACGCAATTACATTGCTGAAATTGCACAAAGAGAACATGTATCTTGATTAGATAGCTTTCCCCTAAAATAATCCACAACATACACTGCCTCAACACAAAAATAGGGAGACTCACCTCACTTTTTGCTATGATCTCCATGCAATAATTTATTTTCTGGGAATGTTCATTTACATAACTAGCCTGTGCTTTGCATTTCTTAGAGATCACAAAGATATAATCCAATAAGGAAAAGCTAGGGAATAGAACCATTAATTATTTTTTTCCTTTTAAGTATGAATAAGAAATAACAAACCAATATTTTCATTAAGAAATTCACATAATACCAACTTTCTTCAATGAGTAACAGAATCTTGAAAATTGGGCTACTCTGAAGGAAGTAACACCTTAGAACCACGGGTACTAGGAGAACACAGTAGATACAGTTACATAGTAAAGTCACAAAAAGGACATTCTGACTTTTTAAATGATTTTTGATTAAGTAAAATCACCCCAGATTCAATTATTTATTTATGGTTCCTGAACCCAAAAAGCTCTGCAAAATGAAAAATATTTATATAAAGCAAACTCCTTTGGCAGCACGATCTAACATCATCTGACAAGAGGCTACTTACATAGTCTTTCTTTCTCCTGCTTTAGTTTGAGGGTTTTTTTTCCTCTGCAGAAATACCCATGTGTTTGCTTATGGGGTGATGTTTTAGCCCCACTGGGATTATACAATCTATAATACATGTAATGGATCTTTGTAAAGCTCCCTAAACATGTGATATACAAAACACATCTGGTCCCAAGGGTTTGAATAAGGAATCTTCTAAAAAAAAAAACTGTCCAGGTATGACATTTTCTATCAGTTCAGTGTTTGCTGCCCAGAATACTTAAACAGTGCCTTACCTCGGTCTGAAGGATGGCAGCCCTCTGTTCTTTGGCTGTAAGTGACTCTTTAAGCACTTCAATGTGTTGCTTGCAATCTGAATTTTGATTGCTAAGAGTTTCAAGCTTTGTTTGTAAGGCAAGAAGTTCTGACTCCTTCTTTGAAAGTTCCTGCTTCAGCTGATCAATCTGTAAAATAACAAAATTGCAAAAAAACAGATATCACAACTCCTCATTTCTCTTCATTTTCGATAGCCATTGATCATTAATCCTACAAGGTGTGCTATGGGTTTGCTTTAAAAGAAGGCCTTGGAAGTCACACAGTTTTAGGGTCTTGGTGATTGAGAGCACAAAGGTGACTGAGAGCACAAAAGACAGGAAAGGTAAGGTAACAGACTGTCTTCTACGTTTTACCCTACCAAGGGTCACAGTGTTATGAAGGCTTCCTGGCCAAACCTACTACTCTCTGTGAAACCACAGAGTCTAACCACCAAGGTCTTCAGGATAATCAAGAAGAAGCTAATAAAGATCATTAACCCAAGCCTACTTTCTATCTCGATGGTTTGACTAATTATGGGCATTTTCATACAAATGGAATCATCTACTATATATCTTGACTTCCTTCATATAGCACAATGTTTTGAGGTCCATCCATATCATAGGATGCATCAGTACTTCAGCCCTTTTCATATCTGACTAATATTCCACTGTACGAATACAGTCATGTGTCACTTAATGATAATGATATATCCTGAGAAATGAGTCTTTAGGTGATTTTGTAGATGTGTGAACACTTCAGTGAGTACTTATACAAACCTAGATGGTATAGCCTACTACACACCTATACAGGGACGATCATTATATATGTGGCCCTTCATTGGCTGGAACATCATTATGTTATACATGATTATACATCTGTCCATTTTCCAGTTGAAGGACATTTAGATTATTACCATGTTTTGGCCATTACGATTAATGTTGCTAAAAACATTCATGTGCAAGTCTATGTGGACATGTTTTCATGCCACATATACATATATACATAGGTGTATATATACATAGGTGTATAATCATTAGACCACATGGTAACTGTATGCTTAGCATTTTGAGGAACTTCTAAGCTGTTTTCCAAATAACTGCACTATTCAGTACATCAGTAATATGAAAGTTCTAATTTCTTTATATTCTCACCAACACTTGTAATTATGACTTCTTAATTTTAGCCATTCCAATGAATATAAAAGTGGTATATCATTGTAGTTTTGATTTGGGGTTCTCTAATTCCTAATGATATTAAGCATCTTTTCATATACTATTAACCATTCAAATATCTTCTTTAAACAATGTTCTTTTTTAAAGACTGTGTCTTTCCTTCTGAGATTTTTTGGCTTTATTTTTATGCAAATGGACAGATCTCTTTTTATTTATCCTATTTGGTAGACTGAGTTTCCAGGACTTTTGGACTGGTACTTGTCATAAAGTTTGGAAAAATCTCACCTTTCAAAATCTTTTCAAATATGGCTTCTGAATAGTAAATATCCCTAGTCCATCTCTCCTTCTGGAGCTCTAATTATACTTATATTAGATCTTCTTATTCTTCATTTTATATACATATTAAGTTGTCTTTCATGCATTCCATCCTTTCATCTTTTATTTAATTTCTTCTGCTCTGTTTTCTAATTTATTAAATCTCTCTTCTGCTATGACTACCCTGTAATTAAAACTAGTCATTGAGCTTACAAATTTTCCATTTTTGTATTTTCCAAGATCCAGACATTTTATTTAGTTCTCTTTAAATATGTTTGGTAATTGCATAGTTTCTTGTCCTTTATGTGTGTTTTCAATGCCTACTTTTATTTATAAAAAATATATTTTAAACAATTATTTCATAGTGTTGTATTAAAATTCCAACTTCTGGGCCTCCCCTGGTGGCACAGCTGTTGAGCACTGGGCTGCAAAGCTGCCCGCAGCCTCTGCAGCGCCGGTTTGATCCCCAGCCGCCAGTGAGGGTCCCACATGGTGCGCAGACCTCTCCTGCCTCGCCCGTGCTCCCCTCAGCAGTGTATTTCGTCAGTCTGCCTGTTCTGTTCCCCGCTCTGGTGAATTCTCTCACTCTCCCGCACCTCTGACTGTACCCAGTGCTTGCATAAATAAATAAATTAATTTTAAAAAATTCCAACTTCTGATGTCCTTGCCTTCTGGTTCTACTATTTGTTCTTTCCAAATCCATCTCCTTAAATGATTTGTTTCCTTGCAGACTGTGATTTAAAAAAAAAAAATTACATGCTCATGTTTTTCTTGAACTTTATCTGTAGAAATACTTTGAGTCCTAAATTGAACATGTAGTCCTTCAGAGCATTTGCCTCTGCCAAAACCTGGGGTAGTACCAACCAAGGACTGCTCTAAACTTCATCTGTACTTGAAGTTTTTGGATCATATTATACTGCATATCCATGTACTAGCCAGCTATGGTTATGAATTCTGAAAGCTAGTTTTTTCACCTGTCACTTGACTTAAGGGGTTAAAATAGATCACTTTCCCTGAGCTCTCCAGTCTAAGTGGGAGGAAAGAAGAATAGGAAGGTTATTTTTAGTTCAGCATTGCACTAAAACTGTAGCTGTCTGAGACCCTAGCTTTATGTGATAGTGGTAGTAAGCTTCCTATTTTACTTTTCATCATAAACAGATCCAGGCTTCTGTCTCTTTTCTCCAATGCCCTTGTGACTGTGAAAATCAAAGCTCAAGTTCACCTGTCTAGCAAATGCAAACAATAAGATACAACCAGTGCACTACTTGTAATCCCAGCTTCCTGCTGGCTGAGTTTTGACTCTTGAGATTCTAACTTGATAGTTCATAAATACATTTCAAGATGTGTTTTTAAAATATTTTTCATTCAGCATTATCTATTGTTTTCAGCCACTAAAATAGGCATAAACAAAAACTGTGCTACTGACAATAACTGCTGAGCAGAGTGGGAAAAGCTCATGAACAGAGTGGGGTACTTACAGAGATATGATACTTCTATATCCAGAGTGTTCAGGGTGCACAATTTACTAAAAAGGTTTGATATGGAGGAAATCCCATTTTCAGGGAGATGTCTGAATGAATCAGGGGATAAATAGGTCTCATCTTACTTGCCAAATCTAATGTTTTGGTAGTGGCTGGACAGAAGGTAGTCTTGGAGAGAAGTATGCTTAGAGGTTCACTGAGAAAAAAATTGTGAGTGATTGTCAACATGTTCTGGGTCTGTGTGAGCAAGTGGTGGCACTGCTCAGGATATGTAATCCATGAAATATGTCTTTATAATTTAATGATGTGAGGCAAGACCATTTTTACCTGCAACAAAAGATGTCACCCATCCACCCCCAAAATTAAAGTATAAATAAAAAAAGGGGGAAATCTGAATTAGGATCACCAAAAATATAAAAAGAAATTTAAATCTGTTGTGATCAACAAGATCAGCACTCTTCTCAGGGGGTAAGATCCAAAAGCGTATGCAGTTATAGCTGACAGTCCAGGATATAGGAGATTCCACATATGAAACTGATTCTTCTGAAAATAAAGCTGAAAAAAAAAGCACAACTCCACATGCCTAAGCAAACATGATGATTACAGTAAAAAACTGATTTGAACTAACTTCTAAAAATGCCAGGGTAGAAATCTAGTGTATTGAAAGAGGAATTTGAATGAAATTAACTTGATCAATGGAATGGTATTTAACAGTAAAGGACACATAGGTTCTACATACACCCACTTCATTCAATAAAAATAGACTGATAATGATAAAATAATTTCAGTCTATAAATATTAAATAGGCAATTGCTTTAAATAGCTTTTAGACTATCACTACCATGAGATAAATTTCACATAAATATTTTATACAGACAATAACAGACAAAAGTTTTTCTAAGGGGAATATTATTACAGGGTAAAAATCATATTAATCCATAAAAATATGTCTTTTGCTTCTTTTATAACCATAAACTCAATAAAAATGGAAAGTGATGCAATCGGCTATACATGAGCACTGAGTCCAGGGAAGGTCTGTCTCCACGATGGCAAGGAGAAAAGCCAATCAGAATTACATCACATGCTTTATATGAAGTCCATGTGGCCATCAGGCACACTTCATCTCGTCTGAAAGTTCTTCCATCACTTACGTCTGTGACACAACCAACACCCCAAAAAAACTATTCTGCCAAGGAAAACAGCTTCTTTTTCACTTTAGATACAGCCTTCATGTCTAGAAAGTGATTGGCTTATTATCATGCAGTTTAGGTTATGGGGTTTGTAATCCGTCAGAGGTTAATAAGAAAATATGTTACAAACTCAGAATAAAGGACTAGATCTAAGAAAGCAGAGTGGTGTCTTTGGCAAACTCTGAAAACAGAGGGAGTAACTGATAATAGAAGTACTGGGCTCTGTAGGTGAAAAATATCTCTGACTAGGAACAAAGTCCTATACATAACAGGGACAGCCATCATCCTTTACCTACCAGAAAAACAACTATTTATAAGGAAAATTCCATTTTTAAAGGCTTAACAGAACTGTTGAAGGTAAAACAAACTTTGTAAGTGCCTCTTAGATTCTGTTTTCACAGTCTGATTCCTCTAAGCCTCCAGAGTGGGAGTTTCAAACAGGAGAGTTGCAGGGCTCAGGAAGTTTCCCAGAGCCTTAGTTTTTAGGTACAGCATGCATGTGCCAAAGGGCTTGCAAGATGCAGGCATTTCTACCCTAGCCAACCACTGAATGGAATCCCTGCCTTCACACAAGCTGAGATTCTGAACTATGCTTTTACATTTTTTGCAATTCACCTTCCACCTTTCCAAAAATGTTATGTCATGGTTTTTCTATGACATCATATTTATAAAAAGCAATTTAGATGTTCACTGCTACTTAATTTAATCACAATGCTTTCAAGAGGCCCTACCAGTTGCAGCCATCTGCTCAGCATCAGAATGGACATTCATGTCCTTTCACATGGCTATTTAAAAAACTTCCTTTCCTTCCAACCTTCATGTTTTATTCTTGTAGATAATTAATACAAACAGCACTCCCTTTTCATACCACAACATTGCTACATGGTTTCTATGTCAAATTTTTACTGAAACATTTAGAATTATCTATTTCAAGATACTTCTTATCTAAAGATAAGAGTATATAAAAATTATTATTATTTGCCTTTATAAG